CCGAGTTCCCTTTTCATTTTTGTGTTATTATATTTTAAAAAATTATTATCGTTCCGTATGTGTTTCAAAATGTCTTTTAAATTACTAACAACAAATATGAAAGACTAAGTGCAACGTTGTAACAAATTTCATTTCCATCCAAGTTAAGAATGATATGACTCATCGAAAACTGCGCGAACGAACATAAACAGTGGCGTAATCGTCCATTATCGATCGACTCCAGACCAATTTTGAATTTGTAAACTGTCATTACAACGGACAGTTGAGATTGTGCTCTGGAGGAAACAATTTGTATCACTCTTGCTATGGATATAATTTGTAATCTGGAATTTTTTGCATACTTTTTAATACGTATTTAATTGCGGCTCGCAAAAAATTTCAAATTTTGAAAAATGGCTCGGACTATCAAGGAGCTTGGCCACCCTGATACTATACTATACTAATAATGTATTTTTTTCCTTCTTTTCGGTTATCTGATTTTTTCAGTTATCCGACCAACCTGAGTCCCCAATTGAGTCGGATAATCAATGCTCTACTGTATTTCATTCTAGCAATTAGCTGGATAGGGGTACTTCATTTTTAATTTGAAATTGTGTTGATTTGTTTAATAAACTGGATTGTTTTTGGAAGTATTTATTGCAATATGATATTATTTTTCTTTCTGAAACTTGGTATGGTTCTACTAATAGGAATTTGGATTTAGCTGATTGTTTGCAAGATTATAATCTCCATTTTGGTAAGGCCTTTAAAATACATGTGAAAGGTCGTTATTGTGCAGGTTGGTTATTAGCAATAAGGTCCTCTTTCCCTTGTATGGTAGTTTTTCAGGACAATTTTCTAATACTTGTTAAATTTGATGTTGATCTTGGAAATGTTTTGATTTGTTTATATTAGGGAAAATCACTGGCAATCTATTTTTGATACCTTATCTGGTTTGTTGTTAGATAATAGTAGAAATGTAAGAAGCCGACTTTTAGGGGCAATCAGTTAATTGTGCATCAGAATCACCACCCACATATGATTTAGGCTTTTCCTGCCTAAATCATATGTGGGTGGTGATTCTGGAGGCAAAGATGAAAAGTGTCTAACAACAAAACTGTTTATTTAAACATAAAACAACTTACAAAGTATTAAAATACAATTTGTTCTAGAATGACAGATGATGGGAGAAGTTCTGGACGTCAAACTCAGAGCAGTGGTGTGTTGTTCAAAGTAGTCCCGGGGCTCTAGTGGTTGCAAGTCCATGGAACAGGTGGGAAAACTCCGGCGGCTGATGTAGGAGGATGAACTGAGTTCCTAGCATGGGTCACTATAGAACACACTCAACTGGAGAACTGCTCCTTGAACTTGAAATTCAGAGCTTTTATCAGATTTCTCCTCAAATCTCACCCTTTTGATTGATCCAGTGTCCCATTTTCGTCTCCCCGATTGGTCATTCTTCTGTCTCCAGGCAAAAACCGAGACCAATTCGGATCGCAGGAAAGATCAAATCCGCACCAGGGGTTTTTTCCCCAGCACCCTCCATTGACTCGGCAGACTAAGAGGTGTTAATGGAGCTTTGAAGCCTGTGCACATATTTTACTGTGTTATTGTCTTTTCCCAGATGTTTTAGAACTTAAACAATTTACCAGATGTTCTTGTGGTTGTTTACCCCTGACATTTTAGAACCCAAACAACATAACAGATGTCCTCTTGGTTATTAACCCCCACTTTTCTCGATTGTTTAAACCCCAATGCTGCCTTGACAAAGCTCCCTCTCTTTCTCAGCCAACATTCCTTTACATCATTTATCTTCACATTATGTTTATTTTGATATAAATATGTAGTTTTCCCTCTGGTCTCTGTTTTACATCACTAACACGATCTCTTGGTCTGATATGACAACCAAAATTTCCTGTCTTTGGAATTTTTATAATTAATTTTGATTCAATTTCTGAACCTCACAGACATGTATTAATTGCCAATGATTTTAAAGCTATGATTGAATTGGAGAATATAATTTTTGAAGCATTTTGTAATTTTTTTGGTATTGTTTATCCTAAGCAGAGGAATTCAAAAGACTTAGTGATTGATTCATGTGGTAGGAAGCTGCTTCACTTATGTGAAGATTTAATTTTGATTATTGCTAATGGGAGATGTTTAGGTAAATAAGCAAGTGAATATTCTTTTATCTTTAATCATGGTGTTCTGCTATTGATTTGGTCATAGTTTCTCCATTAATATGGAAAGATGTTGTTTCTCTTATGATAGATCAGTTTTTGGATTCCAATCATTGCCCTTTGATTTTGTGTCTGGCCTATGGCAATGAAATGTTGGTTCCTATAGAGGAAAGGCAGTGGATTACAAGATTATTTTGGAATGAATTTAGAAAGGATAAATTGAGGTTGACTCTGAAAGATGTGTGTGTTTTGACTTTATAGAAGATCTGAGTAACTGGGGATTTAATATTAGAAGACATAAGAATTCTTTGTCATGGTTTGATTCAGAATGTGGGATGTTAATTAGTGCTAGGAATAGAGACTGAAGATCATTTAAGAAAAGCAATGAACCTAATGACCATTTGCATTTTGTAATGTTACACAGTTTGGTGAAACGATTTTGTATTTCAAAAAAGAAATTATTTACTGGTAAAATTCACAACTGTTTTAGTAAAGATAATAGACTTTTTGGAATTATTTGTAACATGTTAAGAAGTCTAAGTTTTGTAATTTTGGTTTCATTTCCATTGATCATTGATTTTATCACTTTTTTAATTTATTAAGTTTAGTAATCATAACTGAAATAATTGATCAAACTGTTGCAAATGATCCAGATTTCGAAAGGAGTGCAAAAGCAAGTTGAGGCCTTTTGGATGCAATCTCCTGCTATCAACATTTGCTTAACAAAAAAACAGAATGTGACAAATGACACTAGAGAAGTTCATTGCAAAACATCAAGAATTTCAGAAAAACCAGGACATTCATCACAAAAATAAACTTTATATTTCTGTGTGCATATACTTGTGTTATGTAACATATATTATTATGCAAATTAATATAAAAATAACTTAAAATTAAAGTAAAATTTGTTTAGTTTTGGCCATATGTTCCCTTTCTCTATTTACTATGGGTTAAAATGACGTCATTTAACACTGTTTCATTTAGCACTTTGTTGTCTAGAATGCATCTTAACTGATAAATGAGGTCTTACTGTACAAATATTTGGATGTTACTTTTTCGACTAATGGTCTATTTTGAATGCATTATATCAATAAGAAAATTCATGCTAGATTAAATTAATTAAAATATCTATAACTGTGAGGCAGATAATAGTAAGGGCTTACCAAACCAATGATTGGTGTGATAAGCCCTTACTATTATCTGCCTCACGGTTATAGATATTTTAATTAATTTAATTATATTTAGGGCTAAAAGCAATTTCTGTAATAATTATGTTCATGCTAAATTATTGATAAATAAAAATCTGCTAGATTACGTAACTTGAATGATTATTTATGTCTATTGAAAACTGTGGTTTTGCCCTCTTTATTATACACCTCAAAAATATGGGGTTTTCATTTAGTTAATAATAATGGTATACAGATTGAATTTATTAAAAATTTACTTTGTTTACATCTTTGTACACGAGGGTATTTATGATGGAATGTGCTTTGACACCTATAAAACTTATGATTTTTAGAAGGTTAAGGAACTGAATTATTTGGATTTCTAATTTTGATGACTCTCATTTGAGTAAGGTATGTTTGACGTTTTTTCTGGGTAAGAATCACATAGATTGGACTCATTTTTTTATTGGTACATGTAATGATCACAGTATTACTTTGATAAGTGACAATTTACAGTTGATAGATTGGTCTCTTCTCCTCGTTAATATTTTTGATAATTTTTTATATGGTATTAATGAAAAAATAAATAATAGTATATATAATAGTTGGTTTAAGAATTTAAATGTTACTTTTTTGATAATTCCTTATATATCAAGATGTTTCTCTTATTATTTTATCTTTCTTTATAGAAGCTAGGTGTAATTCACTGTATTTTTTAAATAATTATGAATTTTTTTAAATTTTTAAATAATTGTGTATTTTTTGTGTGGAGAAGAAAACTATGGATGCCAGGCATATTTTGGCTAAATGTGGGCATCTTAAAGTGTTATGAGAAGAAATTTTTGGTTGCGTTGTTTTTTCCAGGTCTTTTTTTCTTAAAATTTTATTGGAACCTTGTTTTCAATTTAAAGTATTTTGTTTTCTAAAAAAAAATCTGTTGATATTTTGTTTTAGGAGGCATGATTCCTCTGCTATAAATTTGGTTTCATTGTTGGTGTAGTTTGGGAGAATCTGTCAATGTTGTCATCAATACTGATATTTTCTTTTTTATAGATAAGAAATATTCTTATTAATAATTAAATAATATTATAATTATTTATTGGTATTATTTTTTCTTATTTTATTGACAGATGCTCCCAAATTTTAATTTTAACCTTAACCTTAAATTTAAGTAGATTATCAAAACACACCTTATGTTACCAAGATAATTTATTGAAAACTAATGTTTTTGGCCTATTCCATAGGCCATCCTCGGGTTAATTTTTAATTTTTTAATTAAAAATTTAACCTGATGATTATTTTATTATACTGTTATTAATATTTGTATTTGAATATATTCTATTTTTAGAACACTGATGTTCCAATCTTCCGGTTTAACCTGACAATGGTAAAATTTATTTAAAAGAATAATAAATTCTTTTAAATGGCCTATGGAATAGACCAAAAATGTTAGTTTTCAATAAATTATCTTGGCAACATAAGATGTGTTTTGATAATCTAATTATTATTTGCTGAGCACATTCAGTTAAATCTTAAATTTAAGTTAATTCTAATGTAATTTATTATTATTGTATATTTTTGTTTGTGACTTTATGTTCAATGTATTTAAGTGATTTGTTTTTGGGATATGGAATTGCTCCCCACATCAAAGAATGTTTCCAGTATGCATACAAATAAAAAAATAAATACAAGTAAAATTTATTTAAAAGAATAATAAATTCTTTTTATTTCTTTTTTATTTATAAATCATTAATGATTATTATGTTTGATTAATAAGTATCTATATTTTCCTTTCTTTATCTAATTTACTTCTATTTAATGGTAAAAATTATATTCTAAAATTTCTTCATTTTTTAGATATTAAAAAACTTTTACTATTACGTTTTACTAAAAAATTTGACTGTAGTGGTATGATTTTGTGAAGACATTCAAATATTTTATATCCAACTGATTATTTTATGGATTTCTTATGAAGTTTTTTCTTCTGAAAGAAAAGAATATGTAAATTCTGGAGATTGACTAATATATATTTAAAAACGTATACATGTATATAATTTTTAAAAACTTTCAAAAGAAAAGACACTTTAAATTAATGAATATAATAAAATTAAAAAAGGTAACCAATTAACCAGAGCAACATTCATTTTTAAAATGCTAATGTTTTCGACTCCCCTTCTGGGCTCTTCTTCAGGCATTCACTCAAAACCGTTGCAAGCTGGTTCTTAAATTTTCGAATGTATTCGCTTACATATTCCTAATGCGCGTGCATTCCAAATGCAATTAAACATCATTAGACAATTATTCGATTCAAAATGCAAACCACTTATAATTCAAATGACCACAAATGTGAATAAATAAATAAAACAACTTTAAATGTTAGCGTCCATTAGGAATTGCCATGCTGTAGAAAATGACATTTCTTCTTTATACTTAATGCTAGTGGATTTGCACTCCGCTTTAAATATTTCAATTGCTTCTAATATCTTGAGGTGACCTTGATGTGGAGTGGTGAGAACGATATGCACCCTGTCAAATTTGGCTGTGATGTCAGGGTCTGTCGCATATGTCGAAAGGGCTTTCGTATACTTATTTTGTAGTATGTCCGATTTATGTTCTTTCAATTGTACCTCTACAAAATACCTATAATGGATGGCAGGTCGGATAGAGAAATGGTTTATATAGGTGCAACCAAGAGGTCTTTAGTGGTACCTTTTAATATACCTTTTATATTAAGAGATTCTTTTCCTAAAAGTATATATATATATATATATACTTTTTTAAAAAGAAAAGAATCTTTCTAAACATGGAGAAAAACTATGACTTTAATACACTGAACTCCTAATTACTGTGCTAATTAGTTCACAGATGCAAACGGAAACATAAATTATCGAAAACAGCCATTTAAACTATAAAAAAACTATTCAGAAGTTTTAAATGAACTACAGCATATATACAGCTCAACTCTATTATAATATAATGCAAGTCCCAAATTTCATGGGTTCCTAGCTAAAAGGTATATTTAGTCAATAAACATAAAATGTAGATTTCTTTTATTTCCAAAAATATTGTGTAGAAATTTACATTTTACAATTCCGTAAATGTAAATGTAATGTAAAATGTAGAAATTTACATTTTACATTACATTTACATTTTACATTTTACATTTCTAGATATAATTCTATATTTTTCCCAAATTACTGTATTTTAATTTTAGGACTAGTAAAACATCTTTTATTCCAAATCTGTTGTTAATGGTGCTAACTTTGCTATTGCAATATAATAATCCAAGGCTAATGGCACCTCACTTCCATCTCTTAGAATTGACAGTTGAGGGAGGAATTAAAATTGAATCTTGCTTATGATACTTTAGCATTTTACAATAATTCTAATATTTTGATAATGCCATGCATAGATAATTAGGAGTTTCGTGTACGTATTAAATAAATAAGATTTTAACAACATTATAAACTACTGCATTTCTAAACTGAAAGATGAATGAATAATAAATCTTATTATGAATTATGTATATACTAAAATTAGATTAAAACTGACTTTAAAGTAGGACATAAGCAAGAATTTATGATACTTAAAATTATTTATTAAATTTTCAATCTTAAAACAGATAAATTTTAGTAACTTACGGAGTATAACCATGAAGGGCAGTTGCAGCAGCTGCTGCTGATAATGGTGAAGCATGTCTAGCAAATGCTGTGGCAAGTGCTCCCCGTGCACGACCCCTTTGTATGGCTACACCACGTAAGGCAGCCACTGGCAAAGCAAGGGGAGACATGCATTGCACATGAACATCACTTCTAGTGGGTAACTTCAAAGCTGCAGCTTAAAAATACAAATATTTATTAGAATTTTAATTGATTTATAAAGATATTATTAAAGCTAAGAAATAAAAAGCTCAAAATATATTAAAATAAATAATTAAATTTTATAAAGAATTTAGTCAAAGATTTATTAGCTATTACATAGAAATGTAATAGCCAAATTTATTTATGGCTAATTGAAATAAATGGAAAGTTAAGATCTAATTATTATTTTATTCTGAATTAATTAATTAAAAACAAATATTTTTCATAAAATTTAAACTCTCATTAAAGCTCTGAAGAAATAGTTCTATTATGTAAAGATATTGTTTATTCATCAAAATTTATATATCCAGTTTACGCTTATTTATAAGACTTTTTAGATCAAACATTCTTCAAATACACTGGCATGTAAAATTAAAGGATAATAGAGAAAACAGCAGATTACTGTACTGTACAATGTACAGCAAGGTATGTGATGAAAATTGACAGAACTTTAACAGAAACACATTACATAATTTACATGTTGTAGATTTGCATAGTAAAATCATAAAAAAATATTAAAATTGGAACAGAAAAGGAAATAAGAGTTCTCCATTGTTGTTGTGCAGAACAGTCAATACAGTGTTTGACTGCTCAAACTAACATAAAGCACTTGCAACATCTGTTCATGATTCTGATGTGTGTGTTAATTAAATCTTGTGGAATTAACTGTCACTTCTGTAAAAAGGGCAAATCTCCTGAAAGATTCTAGGTGGGGAGTGGTGTTCCAAACACAGTGTCCTAAGGTGACCTTATAATGCTCAATAATATTCATGTCTGATGAATGTTCTAGCCCAGGGGTGGCAAATTTGTGGTATGTCAAGAGAAATCATCTGGCACAAAACATATCATACAATTTCAATTTATCACCTGTCTTTTTCAAACATCCTTTCAGTTTATCACCTAATCATCCTTTTTTCAATATGCTTTTTTTACATTCATTCTAATTAAGGAATATTCATTTAATTTATTTAAATATTGTTATTCTAAGTCTAAACCTTTGGCATGAATAAATATCTTTAAAGCTAAATATGCTTACTATATGGTATGTGGGCTCAAAAAGCTTGCCCCCCCCATTCTAGCCAATCCACTCAAACAGTATTTTCAGATTCCAGATCTCCTCAACCAGTTAAGCTTGATATATCTGCCATCCATCATGCAAAAATCTGGGCTGACTGCATCCCTGAACAGCCTAAACATAAAGGTGCAGAATCTCATTTCTATACTTTTGGCCAGTCACTGACACTGTTTGAAAGATATATAGGTCAGTGTAGCCATTTGCAATAATGCCTCCACAGATAAGCAAAGCACCATCAAGAAAACTGGAATTTCCCAAATAGTTGATGGGTTGTTGCGAGTCCCTGGTTCCTGCCAGATGAGAGTAAAAGTTTGGAATCACTATTTAAACTGTATCATAACTCATCCATGAAAAGAGCATGTGCCCAATTGTCTGGGCTTTACTGCAATGTTGGAAATCTGCACTCATCTTAAATGACCCTCTAGAGAAAGATATTAGGTGGACAAAAATTATAAGTCTCCTTGCATAGAAATCTATCTCACACAACTGACAGTAAAAAATAAATCTGCTTATCCCTGCTGCAAGACCCATCCTAGCTATTAGGTAATACCTGACAATTTCTTCCCACTGTTTGAGCCATATAACAATCTTTAGAAGAGGTAGTAATCTTAGAACACTTTTGTTCTGCACTATGATAAACTTTTCCAGTTCTGCAAAACTATCTCCACAGTTATTATTACAATTGGCTTCATGCTCTCTTATTAGTAATTACAATTTTTAATATGACTATATTATATCTATAGAGCTTATCACATATTGATCTATTTATCATTTATTATATTAATCTATAATTATAAGATAAAATCTTGTAGACCAAAATTCTAATTGAAGAGGGCCAAAAATTTTTTGGCTGAAATGCATTTTATTACTGGTCTAAAGGATGTACAGTACAGTACTGTACATATATTATCTAATGTATTCTTTTGCATAAGATAATTTCAGCTAATATAACTCAAACTTGTATTCTGTCATATTATTTGTATACTTCTTTTTTAATATAAATTAGGTATGATTTATTATATAAAATATTAAAGTTAGATAATTGCAAAATATTATGAACAAAAAGGATTTAGAAAAATTTCTATATCATATTTTAAAGGCTATTTTCACATGTGAAGTAACAACAAAATTACATAGAATAAACATTTTAAAATGTATTAAACTAAGTAAACATATAAATAAAATTATTTTAAAAGTAAAACAGCTAGAAAATTTAGTAATCCTAACACTAACACACTAAAAATGCCAACAAGGTGCAGAACTATGTTAAGAACCTGTAGAAGGAGCCATGGTCTAGGGCAGGGCTTCTTAAACTTTTTTAATTCACGACCCCATTTATGATTGTGATTTTTTTCGCGACCCCCCCCAAAAAAAAAAANGAGCCCTGGTCTAGGGGATAAAATGTTGATTAACTAAAATGGGGCTAAATTTAGAGATTAATAGGGTCTTCCAAATGAAAAAAATTTTTTTTGAAGATTAAATATGTTTTAACAAAGAGACTTCATCTCAGATTGGTATATATCCATTTTGCAAAATATACTTGGCAAGGATCATATCTATCAGCCCTTTATTAATGATGTTTGTATGCTCTAGTATACAAAATTTAAAATGTCTAGATGGGAACCTATGTAATGTAAAATTGAGCTTTTGGTGAAGTGTGTGATCAGTACATTATAAATACCTGAACACCAACAAAATGAACAGAAATCTGTCCATAATTAAGAATTGTTTTAAATTAAAATCAAACTGTAACTCACACCAAAACACTGAAATTTTCTTCATGTTATTAAAGTTATTGTGGTGCATGTCAATTACTAATATAAATGCTGTCATTTGTGAGCATGTGTGTGAATTCCTTATAACTCCAGACAAAATGATGCGATTTTCAGATGAAATTTTAATTATATTCATTTTATGTTCTGACGGAAAGTGCAGGCTACTCATTTTGTGAAAATATTAGCTATAGAATAAATGTTTTATTGATTTTGGATCAGTGATTGCACTTAGATTGCAGTGATGTCAGTGACCATATAATGTTTGTGCTCGACAAAGAAAGTTCCCTTAAACTACAATTTTAAATATCTTAGCAAATAGCGTATTTTAAACATACTTCATTAAATTTAAAATTTATACTTTAAAAAAAAAAAAAAACAAAACATAGTCTGATTTGTCACTTCTACAGCAAATTTTTAAAAAATCTTTCCATAACGACCATGTGACATTCTATTATCCAATCAAAAGTAACAATCTAACAAGCCCATTATTTAGAAAGTGTTATCACCCATCCAACTAACTTACTGTACTGTACATACAATTAATCTTTCTTTTATCAATGTGGAATTAAAAGATGGCTTTATCAAGGGCTGCAGAAACATGATCACAACATCAATCATCAAAACAATACTAAGGTGTTTATTACTAAAAAACCATCAATATTAAGGTGTTTATTACTAAAGGAAGACAGCAATATTATAAACAGAAATATACAAATTTCTAAAAATGCAGACTTACCATTTGGTATTGTTGGAGTCTTTTTTGTTTGTACTCTGGCTGTTGCATTGTTCACCTATTACAGAAAATTTTATTAGACCACTAAGATTATTTTTAATTTTCTTAAAATTAATTTTTAGGCATTTACTTTAAAATGTTATACTAAATTAATACTTTAATTACTTTTAATGTACTTTTTCAGGATAAAATTTAAGAAAAAATTATATTTCCCTATTATTTATAACAGTTAAAAACAATAATTTAAATTTATGTAATTTCTTGCATTAATTAAAAAGAAATACAAATTGTATGTAAATCATTTGTATATTCATCATTTGCAATCTTCTTGGAAAAATATGAAATTCTAATTTGTGTAATAAAATAAATAATACATAAATTATTTTAGAAAGATGTGTAACTGAAAGCATAAAAATTACTTTCAATATATGTAAATTGTTGTTTTATTCATTTTAATATAAAAACAAGTTAATTAAAACATAAGCTATCTCAATATAAATATATCAGTTTTCTAAGAAACATAAAAATTGTAATTGGAAATGATTTAAAAAATGCTTTAAATATTCATAAATTCTTACTTTCTTTTTTCCAATATAATGATAAAACTCATTACAATAATAACACAAATTATTTTTATAATTTCATTTAATAAAACAATCTTACAGCTAAGTAATATTAAACATTTATAGCCATTACATTAAATTTTTCAATTACAATATAAAATTACAACCCCTGATAAAAAGTATCTGAATATGATGTAAGAAAATAAAATTGTTTAGTTTGAGCTTACTTTATAGGAAAATAAAAATGTAACATTCAAAACAAAAATATACAGTTTGTTCACTGGATTATGAAATGTTAAACACTTTAATTTCAAAAGAATAAACCAAACCATTTTCCCAAAAAAAAGTTTTTTACATANATACAGTACCACTAATGATCAACAATAGTAATAATAATAATAATAATACTAAAATAATAATAAAAGGATCACATGCAAAATAATAGAAGATAATATTTTGTTGGTCCTCCTCTTTACTTCAGCTAACTTTAATGACTTCTTTAAGTTCATCTTTATTAGTTGGTAGCCTTTTATCAATCAGTGTTTTCAACTTGGCCCATAAATTTTCAATAGAGTTTAAATATAGGATATTTTCAGGCTTGAGAGTTTAAAAATTCTTTATTTCATTTGGCTTGATGTCATGTGGCTTTATCATCCTGCATACAATATCAGCATCACCAAAGTGATCTTTGATTGTTGTATTTTCAGTTCCAATAGCTGACATGCAGCCATGAATCATTAAACTTGTTGGAAAGTTTTTAACAATTTTAATGTTTTGGGGCTGCATTAACAAGTGTTCCTATTCAGGCAGTCTTCCTTAAGTTTCTCATCTTCACTTCTCCAAACAAGTTTTCTTGCATCATCAACACATCCAATGTATATACAACCCTAATCTGAGTAAATAACCTTTTTCCAATCTTCTACAGTCCAATTTTTGTGCTGTCTTGCCCATTTGAAACAATTGTTTTTTGTTCCTTGGTCAGATATGGTTTTGTTTTGGCTTTACAAATGAAAATTCTGCCATTCAGTCTATTTTTTACTGTTCTATCACAAACATTTGATTATTTAAACACAGACAAAAACACCTAAACCAGCATACTCAAATAAACATTTTTACTAACATTTTTATCTGTTTATAACAGACATCTTCAGGTATATATAACATCAAACTAAATGGACAAATTAAAATTAAATATCTGATTTTAATTTGTCAATTAATGTTAGTAAAGGTGTTTATTTGGGGTATGCTAGCTTATGTGTTTTGTCTATGTTTATACAAACAATTGATTTATTTTTCTTACATTCTGCATTTGGATTGTTTGGAAAACATCTTTTGATTTTTTAAATATATTTTTTTTAATAGGTGATCTTGAGCCTTGCGGGTTTTATGTCTCCTGTGTGTCTTTAAACTTTTGCCAAGTGTAATTTACATTTCCTAAAGACATACCAATACACACAGCTACTTCATTTTGGCTTTTTCCCTCTTGTATCAGTTTCATAATTTGTTTTCTCACACCATTACTAAATTCTTTGATTGAGACCATTGTTTAAACAAAGACAGATCTCTGTTTATTTAGAAAATGATACCAACACACTCCTTAAAGCTAATAGATTCTTCCATTCAAATTTGAATGCTCAAATATGTAAATTTAGAACAGTGTTCAAAAACTTTTTTCAATACCACTTTATGTAAAAATATTCTTTTGGGAAAATGGTTTTGTTTATTCACTTGAAATTAAAGTGATAAATACTTAATAACCTAATGAATAAAACTTATATGTTTGTTTTGAGCATTACATTTTTATTTTCTTGTAAAATGAGCTCAAACTAACCAGTTTTATTTTCTTACATCATGATCAAATACTTTTTTTGCCAGGGATTGTAGTTTATATGGTGTGTGTAAAATGTTCAGTGAATGTTAGAATATCTTGAATGCAACACATGCAACAAGGTCAAGCATAAACTCAGACATCCAGCAACATGTCTAGAATCACCTTTTAGCATGGAATATGTGTGGAAAAAGTGGGCTTCCAATGTAGTCATTCAAGCATAGTTTTTTGAGAGGTGGCATCAAAGAGTAATGGAACAATAATTTTAAGCACAACATAAAGTTATGCTTAAAATTGAGAAAAATGGCAATGGAGACACATGAAATGTTGATCAAAGAGATCTTGCACTTGTGGACTTGTTTTTGTTTCCTTGCCTCAAATAGGACATTAAGGGATCGTATGTTGCTGACATCTCCACAATTTAAGTCCATATGACATTATTAAATTCTAAAAGTTTTTAGGGAATTAGTATTTCTGAACTATAAAATTTTTTATTGTATTCTACTGGAAGAATTTGAAATTTTTTTCATTTACTGATCCTTAAGGCAAATCATGTCTTTTTTTCCACTTACAAGTGTATATATGTAAACTTAAAAAATATTTACACATCATTTATTAAGTGTGCAAAAGCACTAGTTCTAAAAAGACAATACAAAAGTAAAACAAAATTTTTAAAAAACACTGCAGAAATATACTGCTAACCTTCAAACCTTTTAAAAAGCAAGAAACACAAAGAAAATAATAAACATGAATATGACTGAAAAGCATTGTATTTGCAAAGTGCTCTAAAGCCAAGTTGCATACTATGGAATTTTTTCTTTAATGAATAAATTCAATTTATAAGTACATTCCCATCAAGCCAAGCATTATTAAATGTGAGTATTTGCAATTGAAAAATATATCATGTTATTAAAAAAATTTTTGGTAAAAAATATATCACCTATTTGTTAGATTTCAGTAATTTCATAAAATGAGTTTTCTCTGAGAATTCTTGTTCAATTTCTTAATTGAACAAGAAATCAAATTCAGAATAAAATTTTTTTATTTCATTCTAAATATTGCACATTATTATTTTTTTATTTCCATATTTACTACTACAGTATTAATCTTTTTTATGCCAGAATTTGGAAAACATTCTTTGATACTTATCTATCTATACTAATACAGTGGTACCTCAGTATACGTCTGCTTTAGAATACGTCCAATTCGGAATATGTCCTGTTTGGACAAAACAAATTTTGCTCGGTTTACAACTTAATTCAATTATACACGCCATCTATGAACAAGTAGCACTATCTATGTATTAGGCCAGATTAGATGTTCACGGTGCCACGGTTTATAACTTTGTTAAATTTCTTCTCATTTTAATTTGTAAGTAAAATTTTATTATTTTTATTAATCATGAATTGCAAAAAGGCAAATGAAAAGCAACAGAAAACTAAAAAAATGACTAGAATCACAATGAAACTGAAAAAAAGAGATTATTGAGAAATATGACGGTGTCATGCATGTTCGAGATTTAACTGTTGCATACTGTATTCCAAGAACGACAATATCAACAATCGTGAAAAATAAAGACATTATTAAATCTGCTAACGTTGTGAAAGGGGTTAAATCAATTTCTAAACAGAGATCGAAGACATTAGATCATGTTGAGAAATTGCTTTTGCTTTGGATAACTGAAAAACAGTGTGCTGGCGACAGCGTATCAGAAGCAATTATTTGCGAGAAACTAAAAAGATACATGCTGATCTCATGAAAAATCAAGCCAGGAAAGTGAGGTGTTTAAAGCCAGCCATTTTTTTACATGAGAATGGATTAATCATTTTTACATTACTTCTTATGGGAAAGGTTGGTTTGGTATATGTCCTATTTGGTATAAGTCCAAACATCAGGAACAGATTAAAGTCATATACCGAGGTTCCACTATATATAAAGCAAGAATGCTTATTTTTTTGTTTGTTTGTTTGCTATAGGTAATCTTGGAATCTATTAAACCAATTTTTAAAACTTTTTCACTATTGGAAAGCTTATTCCTTCCAGATGAACAAAGACTATATACTATTTTCATATTAAAAAAGAAAAATGCACAAGAACGATGATTTTACTGCAGTATTTGCTCTGTTCAAGGTCAATCCCATTGTCACTTGATGGGCTTTCTAAACTTATTACCTTATATTTTCAGTTTCAGTTTTGATTGATGCAGTTCAGGTAGTTGTGTATATGCTTTCTTTATATTGCCTTGGTTGTTCACTTCTTATAATAATACTCTTATGTTATCAGATACTTACAACTATAAGAAGCAAATTTACTTCCCTTATATGAAACTAAACTTTTTCAAGTAGGCTTTTAGTATTTTTGTGTTTGTTGTTTTAGTATTAATCTTACTGTTCCATTATTTAAAACTACAAACCAGTCAGATATCAGATATCAGTTCAGATCAGTTATCAGATATCAGATCAGTTATCAGATATCTATCTACATAAAAGTTCTTTTGGTTACTTTTAGGTGTAAACATATGAGTGAGCCTTATCAATAATAAAATGTCTTAAAAAAAGTTGCAATTGTCATGAAATACATCCATGTCAGGGAACCATTAGAATGCTTATTACTTTCTGATGTACAGTACAGTACATAAGCTACTTAAAACTCAGATCCTTCTGTCCT